GGAGAGGGAATATGGAAAGGAGAGAGGAATAGGACGGAGTCATACTCTCATACTTCCCCCCCTCAAAGCTGGATGGTCGACGTGACACCCTGCTTGACAAGGTAGTCGCAAAGAGGACGACGAGCATGATCCATCTCGGATTCAGAGACCCAGCTATCCTCTGAAGGATCATAACCCTTCCAACGGATGAGAAGCTCCACGGTGCCATTCCGTGGATGGCGGTGAGCAAGCACGGACTCGACCTCGTACTCGGGTTCATCTTGGACGAGGACGGGTGGCGGTGGCGGCGGTTGGCATCTAGAGAAGATCGCGTTGGGATCTCAATAGGGTTTCAAGAGTTGGACATGGAAGGCATTGTGAATCTTCCAAGTAGTTGGCAGGCGTAAGCGGAAGGTAACAGGAGTGACCTGTGCTTCAACGAGAAAAGGCCCGCAGAAGCGAGGTCGCATTTTGGATGGGAGATGGCTGATGTCAAGATTGCACGTGTCGAGTAGCACTCGATCTCCCACGGTAATGGTGTGGTCTGTGCGGTGGCAATTGGCCTGGCGCTTTTGTTGTTGCTGAATGTCGAGAAGGCGCTTGTGGGTCCGATCCCAAATTTTGTGCATAGTCGTGATGAAATTATGAGCGGGTTGGACTGTAGCTAGTATGTTTGGCTGTTGAGGTGTGAGTGGGTGGCGTCCGTAATAGAGGAAGAACGGCGTTTGTCTAGTAGCGGCGTGAGTAGCGCTGTTGTAGGCAAACTCCAGGACGAGCAGATGCAAGTCCCATTTGGAGATTTCGTCCTTGCAAGCTGCGCGGAGGAGTTGCTCCACAATTTGGTTGAGGCGCTCGGTCTGTCCATCTGTCTGCGGATGGTAGGCGGATGACATGGCGAGTTTGGTCCCGAGCAAAGACATCAGTTCTTTCCAAAATTTACTGGTGAACTTAGGGTCTCGGTCGGAGATGAGTGTGGTCGGAATGCCATGTTGTGAGATGATGTAGCGCACAAAGAGTTGTGCCGTCTCCTCGGTGCGTGCTATCATTTGTGTCGGGATGAAGTGTCCCATTTTGGAAACCTTGTCAATGACGACAAGAATCGCGTCATAACCGCTTGTGGTAGTGGGTAGCCCGGTGATGAAGTCTAGGCTGACCACTTGCCATGGCTGTTCTGGGACAGGAAGAGGCTGTAGTAGACCCGCCTTTTTCTGCTTGCTGCTCTTCATCCGCTGACATGTAGTGCACGAGGTGACGAATTTCTGTACGTCATCTGCCATGTGGGGCCAGTAGTAGTGTTTGGCGATACCAGTGAGCGTCTTGTTGCTACGGAAGTGTCCTGCGTACAGGACGTCGTGGTATTCTTCGAGTAGTAACTGGCGCAATGGAGGGTAATTAGGTACTCAGATCTTCGTTGATCCTTTCCGGTACGCGATGTCGTTGTCCCACTGTAGCAGATGTCCCTTTTCTGCCAAGGGAATTTTTGGGTCGATGGTGTACCCGTGTGTGAAGAGTCCCTTGAGGAGTGGATTTATCCCTTCAACTTGGATCGCGGCAACGTGTGCCGGTCGGCTAAGCACATCGACTTTGTTTTTATGGCCGGGCTTGTACACGATGTCGTAGTGGAAGTGTGTCTCGAGGAAGTCGATCCACCGAACGTGTCGCCTGGAGAGGCTTGGTTGTGTCTTCAAATATTTTGGGCTGCAATGGTCGGTGTAGACTGTCGTCTTGCGTCCTTCGAGATAGCATCTCCACGTTTTGAAGGCAATGATGATAGCCAGGGCCTCCTTGTTGTGTATCGGATAGTTGAGTTCTGCACCGTGTAGTTTCTTGCTGAGATAGGCGATTGGTTGCAGTCCATTCCCCTGGTCTTGCATCAAGACTGCTCCCACTGCCTGGTCGCTGGCGTCAGCTTCGATGACGTATTCGCGTTCGGGGTCTGGCAAGATGAGTACTGGTGCAGACGTGAGTGCTTGCTTCAGCTGCTCCACGGCTTCCTGGTGTTTCGGCTCCCATTTGTAGGGCGTGTTCTTTTTCAGTAGATTCGTGAGTGGCGCGGCAATTTTCGCGCATTACGGCACGAACCTGTTGTAGTAGTTAGCGAAGCCAAGGAGCAGCTGTAACTCCTTCACATTCTCGGGTGTCTTCCACGTACGCACGGCTTCGATTTTCTTGGGGTCGACGTGAACTCCTTGAGCGATTACGATATGTCAGAGAAATTGAACTTTCTCGAAGGCGAAGTCGCTCTTGGATAGTTTGACGTAGAAGCGTTCGCATCGAAGAATGTCGAAGACGCGTCGTAAGTGTTCGACGTGTTGTTGCATGTCGTGCGAGTAGATGAGAATGTCGTCCAGGTACACCACCACGCATTCGTCCAAGAGTGGGCATAGGATGTGATTCATCTCTGCTTGGAACGTTGCAGGTGCGTTGGTGAGTCCGAACGGCATCACCAGATAATCGTACGATCCGTATCGAGTTCGGAAGGCAGTTTTGTGAACGGAATTGTCCGCCATTCTTATCTGCCAATATCCGGACCGCAGATCTAATTTTGAAAATACCGTGGCTCCCTGAAGCTGGTCGAGCAGATCATTGATTCGTGGAATTGGGTACTTGTTCTTGATGGTATGCTTGTTGAGAGCTCGGTAGTCGATGCACATGCACAGGCTTCCGTCCGGTTTCGGTGTGAAGAGTACTGGGGCACCGCATGGTGAATTGGATGGTCGGATGAGTCCTTTGGCGAGGAGATACTCGATATGCTTTTTCATGTCGACTAGCTCGGTGGGGCTGGGCTGATATGGTGCTCGGAAGGTCGGCTTTGAACCTGGTTCCTCCACGATCTCATGTTGGTGCGTTCGGTATGGCGGTAGCTCGTCCGGGAGGTCATCAGGGAGAATGTCTTGGAACTCCTTCAGTAATTCCTTGATTTTTCCTGGAGGTTCCAAGGTCTTCTCTCCATCAGTTTCCACCTCTGTTGCTATCGCCAGGAATCCGGTATTGGTTCGCTTGACGTCCTTCTCGAATTTGGCAAGTTTCTCTACTGGGATGTCTCCTGTATCGTCCCAGTTGGGTAGCTGGACTCTCCTTCCTTTGTTGTAGATGCTTGCGGTGCGGTTCACCCAGTTGATCTCGGGGTTGAATCGTTTTAGGAAGTCTCGCCCGAAGATCAGGTCAAGCCCTTTGATGTTGGTGATGGGGAGTGCAGGTTTCCAGCGCAGTGGCCCGATTTGTAGGTGTAGCACAGCTTCGCCGTATACTGGTAACTTGCTGCCGTCCACCATCATTGCAGAAAACGCTGATGGCTTGTACTCTTCTCGAAGTCGGTCGATGGTTGCCTTGTCGCATACGGTGTGCGATGCTCCGCTGTCCACGAGTGCTTGGAGGCGTTGTTGTCCTTTGTAGATGACCTCGAGCACGAGGGGCAGGCGTTGCTCAGAGTACCCAAAGATAGTTTCATTGATTGGGTCATAGGGTACATCCCAATATTCGTTGCTTCCTACTCCTGAGCTGGTAGCTGGCCGAGGCTGCTTGGAGAAAGGCTCTTCTCCAGGGCCCGGAGTTTCCGTGACGATTGTTCGTGTCGTTGACGAAGTTGCTGAGCTGGATGCATCCGAAGAAGGAGTTCGGGGTTTTTGCAGCTTCTTGTAGACCCCCAGCTTCCTTTTGAGCTGCTTCAGCTCCACCGACGTCTTCCCTGGGGAACGGGTAGTCGCTGTGGGCTGGCGTCGGGAGAGGACGTTGACTCCGTGGAAAGGTCGGCTTCTTTCCACACTCCTTAATTTGGTCCCCAAGTTCTCCGGTACCGGTATGATCTCCACAATTTTATGCTTCTTCTGGAGTCCCTCCCGTATTTTCTCCAAGGCTCTTGCCCCTCGAGAATCACAAGTTTTCATTAAAGCATCTTTATAAGATAACTTTAACGAATCCTTATAATTTCTTGGGTCTTCAAGGAGTCTCCCCGTCTCGGCAGAGTCCTCTTTCGCCGAGTTAGATTTTTCCTCAGCGAATTCCTCTGGCAAAGACTGGTCGTGGGGTGGAGATTTTTCCCCATCATTTTCTCCTGTTCACGTCGAATCAGTTGCGTCGAAGTTGATTTTTCCGGAAGTCTGTGGCCGCTTTCGGATCTTTTATTTTTCGCCAGCTAGATCCGCAATTACTGGCGAGTCCCCTTTTTTGGCTTCTGATTGGCCGAAGGATTTCCGCCACTCTTGCGTGCCCGATACTCAGCGCGTGCGGTTTTCATTTTGTTGCAGTCGAAGATTCGATGACCCGTTGAAGCAGAAGGATCAAGGATCATGCTGCCTCAACAATACGAGATGATTGGCTGCCGTTCGTCGAGCGACAATCTGGGCACCCATGCAAGAGCATCAGAACCGACCGAGGTGGAGAGTTTCTAGGAGGAGATCTGACTGCGTGGCTCAAGAAACAAGGCATTGAGCATCAGCTAACGACGTCCTATACCCCTCAGTCAAATGGCGTTGCTGAGAGGGCTAATAGGACCATCCTGGAAACTGCGCGAGCGCTGCTGATCGAATCAGGGCTGGGGAACTCCATGTGGCCTCATGCGGTGAGGCATGCTACAGTGGCAAGGAACCGCGTACTCACAAAGGTGGCTGATGATATGTGGGTGCCGCTGGAGAGGTGGCTTGGAAAGAAGCCTCCAGTGGACATGCTTCGAGTGTTCGGATGCATGGCAGTGGCGCATGTCCCTAAACCGTACAGGACAAAGCTTGGAGCATCTGCACTTTGGTGTGTGCACCTTGGGCTTGCGGCAGAGAGCAAGGGGTGGCTACTCTGGGAGCCCTCAAAGAATGTGCTGTTTGACAGTCGGGATGTCAAATTTGTGGAGAACATCATGTATGGCAAGTGGGAGAAGCAGCCGGAGGCAAGGGTCACCCAGCAGCTGGAAGAGATCACTATGCACTTCGATCTGTCCGAACCTGAGGACAGCGAAGTCACTGCGCCAACGGCAAGCGGTACTGATGAAGGAAGCAATGAGGATATTGCAGCTGATGCTGAAGTCAAGGATCCGGAGCAGCAGCAGCAAGAGGCTTCCAAAACACCAAGTCTGCCAAAGCGAAGGAAACAGATTGGTGGGGGAACAAAGGATTGGGTGAAGGTGAAAGAATGGGTAAATCCAACCATCTACCCTGCACGTACCAGAATGGCAACGAGAAAGCTGCTGAGCTCCACAAGTGGAGGAGCCACAACTGAGCAGCAGGAACAGGCTCAAGGCGAAGATGCAGTGCTGTTCTTGGGTGATGACCAAGAGTCAGATGACGAGGAGCCTGCATACTGCTTTTACGCACCAATACAACCTCCGAGCATGGATCATGCGCTAGCCGGGCCTCAACGGGGGAAGTGGCTCGTTTCAAGAGATGCAGAGTACAACAGCCAGATGGAGAATCACACATGGGACCTGGTGTACTTGCCAAATGGGAAGAAGGCAATACAGTGCAAGTGGCTGGCAAAAATCAAGACGCATGAGAAAGGAGAGCCATCAGTTTACAAGAGCAGGCTGGTGGCAAAGGGGTTTCAGCAGAAAGAGAAGGAAGATTACAATGAAGTGTTTGCCCCAACTGCTAAGTCTCCAACGCTACGTGTGCTGCTGGCGGTAGCTGCTGTGCGCAAATGGAAGGTGAAGCAGATGGACATCGTAACCGCTTTTCTGTACGGCATTGTGGAAGAGGAGGTGTACATGGTTCAACCACCTGGCTATGAGGATGGAACCGGTCGTGTCTGCAAACTTAACAAGGCCATCTATGGCTTGAAGTAGGCCCCGAGATGCTGGTACAACAGGCTGGCCAGTGCACTGGAAGGGATTGGATTCCGTGCGAGTGCATGCGACGAGAGCCTATTCCTGATGGGAGAGGGGGAGTCACTTGTGCTTCTGCTGGTGTACGTGGATGACATCCTGCTCTTCAGCAGCAGTGACAAGGAGATCGATGGGGTGCAGCGGAAGCTCACAGAGCAGTTCAAGTGCAAGTCACTTGGAGAGGCAAGGTACTACCTGGGAATGCACATTGAGCGGGATACTGAACGTGGCTGGCTCAAACTGCATCAGGGACAGTACATCAACACCTTGGCTGAGAAGTACTCTCTGCAGGAAGAACGGGAAGTGGTCACACCTTTGCCTTCTGAGTTCAAACTCATAAAGGCAGCTGAAGGAGAAGGAGTTGAGAGTGAAGACCAGAGGCAATTCCAATCCATGGTCGGGAGCCTACTCTACGCTGCTGTGCATACTCGGCCTGACATCAGCTTTGCTGTGGGACAGCTGGCTCGAATAGTGCAAAATCCAACAGAAGAGCAGTGTGGTGCAGCGGAGAGAGTGGTGCACTACCTCAAGTCATACCCTACAGTGGGAGTACAGTATTCAGCCTCTGCTCAACTCAGTCAAAAAGGAATTGAAGTCCTCAAAGAGAAGGGGGAGCAGCTCGGAGAAGGAAAGGTGTTCCTTTCCTGTTTTGCTGATGCCACGTGGGCTTCTGAGCATGAGGATTCATCATCAGTTGGTGGATACATCTGCATGGTGGGAGGTGGGCCTGTGAGTTGGAGGTCCAAGAAGCAGTCTGAGACGGCACTATCTTCAGTGGAATCTGAGTACATGGCGATGTTTCATGCGGCAAAAGAAATCATCTGGCTAAGGAGGCTCTTGAAGGAGATCGGCCATGAACAGACTTGTGCGACACCTCTGTTCAGTGATAGCAAGGGAGCCATTGCCATGGCACGCAATGCAGTTCTTCATGGGTTGAACAAGCACATGAGGATCAAGTGGCATTGGCTGCGGAAGGAGGTGAAGCTTGGGACACTGGATCCGATCTACGTGAAAACTCAGCAACAGCCAGCCGACTTCCTTACCAAGCGGCTAGCTGAAGAGCCACACTGGCGCTGTGCGAGGATGGCGGGAATGTCCTTGAACTAGAGACGGCGAAACAAGCCGACAGTCTGAGGGGGAGTGTGTTGGTGCATATTCATTTGCACGTCATCCTGTCGTCTGTTCGCATCATTTCGTTTGCATGTGTTTTGTGTGCTACGTTGTTTGTATGGTTTGTTGGGTTTGCATGTCTTTGCATGTTCATCTTGTGCTTGTGCAGATGTGCTTGGATTGTGCATGACATCGAGCACATTCCAACGAGCCAAGAATTGTTGGAATCGGAGCACATATGAAGAAGTTACGAAGAAATGTTTGATGGATTTGTTACAACTCATTGGAAGTCCTTGTCAGCTGCTACACCAAAGTTGGAGAGCCCTATAACGAGGAGGGACCAGCATGTGTGGGACTTTTGTCCCCACCTTGCAGCTGCAGCATTTGGGGTTTGGAGGCCAACCTGGCACAGTGTGAATTTTGTCTTGCCAGGCTGGCTGAACCTGAGGATGGGGAGTCAAAACTTTGACTCTTGTCATGTTCTTGACCATGGGCCTCCAGGGTCCTTCCCTTTCATCCTTCCCTTCCTACCCCACCTTCCAACTGTGCTTCAATGCCTTTTCTATCATGCCTCTGATCTTGTAAGCTTCAATTATAGTGATTCTGAGGACTGTCAACTTCTCCTAGGGCAGATTACCCCCCAGTGCGCCAAACGCCATAGCTCACTCGTTAAGCTACGAAATCGAGTTATTTAACTTTCAGTGGAAAGCTGACGCTGCCAGCTACAACATATCCGATTTTCAGATCGTTTCACCGATTGGAGTTTTTGATATAGCTATTCGAAGGTCGCGAGTTTTCTGGGCGTCATAACGAAGTGCTGCAGAAATTTCCAAGGAGCCATTGAATCATCTGCTTATAGCCTTCTCTAACCAACAAGTGGTATCAGAGCCTATTATCACGCATTTGGGACCTAAAATACGATGGGAGATAAAGAGGACTCTGGTGGAGGTGATACTTCAGTCCAAGGAGGCAGCTCAACCCAAGATTCTGGCATTGCAGCGCAAAGGGGAGCGCGTACAAGCCAGGGGTCACTGCTTAAGGAGGTGCTGAAGAACTTCACCATTGAGAAGTTCTCTGGCGATGGCTATGATGATTGGGCATGGAAGATGCAGCTCTACTTTCGATAAATTGGCCTCTTGAAGCTCATGATTGGAACGGAGCCAAGGCCAAAGGAAATGGCAGAGCAAGCGGACTGGGATGAACGTTCATCTGCTGGGTATTATCTACTGTCACAAAGCTTGGAGCTGAACCAGAGGCATCACATCATGCATCTGCTACCGGAAATTGATTGTGGGCCCAAGGCATGGGCAGTGCTCAAGGACCTGCACGCTCCGACATCGGTTGCCGCTTCTCTTATGCTGGATCGGGAGCTGTCCATGCTGCGGTTGAGCGAGAATGAACCTGTGCAGCCCGTACTGGACAAGATGAGGGAACTCTACGCGAAATTGGCGATTGCTGGCATCACGTACCCAGAGCAGACAAAGTGTCTCAAGATGCTCAGCCTGCTGCCGGAGTCTTGGCTGCAATTTATAAGCGGACTCAGCTTGCCACAAAACCAGAGTCAATGGACATTGGAGTGGATTCGCACCAAGATTCTGGAAGAAGATTTTCGTCGCTATACACTGCGCGGAGGTGATGACAGCACCAGCGGCTATGCCATGCAAGGGACATGGAGGGATCGAGGGCGTGGCAATCGCGGTCGCTCTTACCACAGCCAAGGTGGTCGCGGGACTTGGAACCAGCGGGGGCGTGGTGGCGCTGGTGCAAGAGGAAGAGGTGGTCACTCCAACAATGACAACAGTGAACCACGCTTGAGGGGAGAGTGCTGGTATTGCAAGGAAGAAGGGCATCCATGGTTTCGCTGCCCTACCAAGCCCGACTGGTGGACCCCTTGGAACCAATCGCAGAAGGGGAATGGAGGAAAGCAACCACATGGAGGTGCCAACATGGTAGCTGATCCTGCTGAAGAAACCTCCAAGGATGACAGAGGAATGGGAAATGAGGAGAGGAATGCTGGACAGTTCTACCATGTGTGTGACAAAGATGACAGTGGCACAGCTGTTGCAAGGGCTGGAGAGGAATTGCACCCGCTTGACATGTGGGTCATGGACTCTGGTGCTGCATGGACAATGACACCACGCAAGGACTTGCTGGATGCTGTGCGAGCGCCTCCTATCTCTGAAGTGCGCTCAGCATCCGGACATGCAGTGAAGGTCGCTGGAGTTGGTCGAGCTGCATTCAGAGCACCTGATGGTGGACCGGTTGAGCTGAAGGACGTGTTACTCGTACCGGAGCTGAAGGCCAATCTGATATCGCTGCGCAAGCTAGGCCAGGCCGGAGTCAGCACCACCACCAATGGATCCAAAACATTCAAGGGGCTGCGAGGAGATCGTGTGTTATGGGATTTACACGAAAGCAGAGATGTCTTCAGATCCATGTGGCAGATCCCTGCACTGATATGGGAATCAACAAAGAAGGAGTTGGGAGAAGTAAAGGCGGGATCTGGAGTCCAGGGGGAGTGTAATGCAGTTAGTGCTGCAGGAGTGACGGTTTCTGCAAGGTCGGGGGAGACTGATTGGGAAACCGCACACAGGCGTCTAGGGCATGTGGCTATGCCATTGCTGCAGCAACTGCATAAGGAAGAAGCAGTAAAGGGGCTCAAGCTTTCTGGGCAACCAAATGATACCAAGTGCGAGACATGTCTGCTGAGCAAGTTCACACGGTTCCCCTTTCACGGCGTAGCTGGGAAAAGCAAGGCAGCACAAGAACTGGTGCACATGGACCTGGTAGGACCTTTTCCAGTCCGAGGAAGTAAGGGGGAAAGGTACTTCCTGACAATAGTTGATGACTGGAGTCGGTTGATGTGGGCATACCCGTTGAAGCAGAAGGATCATGCTGCCTCAACAATACGAGATGATTGGCTGCCGTTTGTCGAGCGACAATCTGGGCACCCATGCAAGAGCATCAGAACCGACCGAGGTGGAGAGTTTCTAGGAGGAGATCTGACTGCGTGGCTCAAGAAACAAGGCATTGAGCATCAGCTAACGACGTCCTATACCCCTCAGTCAAATGGCGTTGCTGAGAGGGCTAATAGGACCATCCTGGAAACTGCGCGAGCGCTGCTGATCGAATCAGGGCTGGGGAACTCCATGTGGCCTCATGCGGTGAGGCATGCTACAGTGGCAAGGAACCGCGTACTCACAAAGGTGGCTGATGATATGTGGGTGCCGCTGGAGAGGTGGCTTGGAAAGAAGCCTCCAGTGGACATGCTTCGAGTGTTCGGATGCATGGCAGTGGCGCATGTCCCTAAACCGTACAGGACAAAGCTTGGAGCATCTGCACTTTGGTGTGTGCACCTTGGGCTTGCGGCAGAGAGCAAGGGGTGGCTACTCTGGGAGCCCTCAAAGAATGTGCTGTTTGACAGTCGGGATGTCAAATTTGTGGAGAACATCATGTATGGCAAGTGGGAGAAGCAGCCGGAGGCAAGGGTCACCCAGCAGCTGGAAGAGATCACTATGCACTTCGATCTGTCCGAACCTGCGGACAGCGAAGTCACTGCGCCAACGGCAAGCGGTACTGATGAAGGAAGCAATGAGGATATTGCAGCTGATGCTGAAGTCAATGATCCGGAGCAGCAGCAGCAAGAGGCTTCCAAAACACCAAGTCTGCCAAAGCGAAGGAAACAGATTGGTGGGGGGACAAAGGATTGGGTGAAGGTGAAAGAATGGGTAAATCCAACCATCTACCCTGCACGTACCAGAATGGCAACGAGAAAGCTGTTGAGCTCCACAAGTGGAGGAGCCACAACTGAGCAGCAGGAACAGGCTCAAGGCGAAGATGCAGTGCTGTTCTTGGGTGATGACCAAGAGTCAGATGACGAGGAGCCTGCATACTGCTTTTACGCACCAATACAACCTCCGAGCATGGATCATGCGCTAGCCGGGCCTCAACGGGGGAAGTGGCTCGTTTCAAGAGATGCAGAGTTCAACAGCCAGATGGAGAATCACACATGGGACCTGGTGTACTTGCCAAATGGGAAGAAGGCAATACAGTGCAAGTGGCTGGCAAAAATCAAGACGGATGAGAAAGGAGAGCCATCAGTTTACAAGAGCAGGCTGGTGGCAAAGGGGTTTCAGCAGAAAGAGAAGGAAGATTACAATGAAGTGTTTGCCCCAACTGCTAAGTCTCCAACGCTACGTGTGCTGCTGGCGGTAGCTGCTGTGCGCAAATGGAAGGTGAAGCAGATGGACATCGTAACCGCTTTTCTGTACGGCATTGTGGAAGAGGAGGTGTACATGGTTCAACCACCTGGCTATGAGGATGGAACCGGTCGTGTCTGCAAACTTAACAAGGCCATCTATGGCTTGAAGCAGGCCCCGAGATGCTGGTACAACAGGCTGGCCAGTGCACTGGAAGGGATTGGATTCCGTGCGAGTGCATGCGACGAGAGCCTATTCCTGATGGGAGAGGGGGAGTCACTTGTGCTTCTGCTGGTGTACGTGGATGACATCCTGCTCTTCAGCAGCAGTGACAAGGAGATCGATGGGGTGCAGCGGAAGCTCACAGAGCAGTTCAAGTGCAAGTCACTTGGAGAGGCAAGGTACTACCTGGGAATGCACATTGAGCGGGATACTGAACGTGGCTGGCTCAAACTGCATCAGGGACAGTACATCAACACCTTGGCTGAGAAGTACTCTCTGCAGGAAGAACGGGAAGTGGTCACACCTTTGCCTTCCGAGTTCAAACTCATAAAGGCAGCTGAAGGAGAAGGAGTTGAGAGTGAAGACCAGAGGCAATTCCAATCCATGGTCAGGAGCCTACTCTACGCTGCTGTGCATACTCGGCCTGACATCAGCTTTGCTGTGGGACAGCTGGCTCGAGTAGTGCAAAATCCAACAGAAGAGCAGTGTGGTGCAGCGGAGAGAGTGGTGCACTACCTCAAGTCATACCCTACAGTGGGAGTACAGTATTCAGCCTCTGCTCAACTCAGTCAAAAAGGAATTGAAGTCCTCAAAGAGAAGGGGGAGCAGCTCGGAGAAGGAAAGGTGTTCCTTTCCTGTTTTGCTGATGCCACGTGGGCTTCTGAGCATGAGGATTCATCATCAGTTGGTGGATACATCTGCATGGTGGGAGGTGGGCCTGTGAGTTGGAGGTCCAAGAAGCAGTCTGAGACGGCACTATCTTCAGTGGAATCTGAGTACATGGCGATGTTTCATGCGGCAAAAGAAATCATCTGGCTAAGGAGGCTCTTGAAGGAGATCGGCCATGAACAGACTTGTGCGACACCTCTGTTCAGTGATAGCAAGGGAGCCATTGCCATGGCACGCAATGCAGTTCTTCATGGGTTGAACAAGCACATGAGGATCAAGTGGCATTGGCTGCGGAAGGAGGTGAAGCTTGGGACACTGGATCCGATCTACGTGAAAACTCAGCAACAGCCAGCCGACTTCCTTACCAAGCGGCTAGCTGAAGAGCCACACTGGCGCTGTGCGAGGATGGCGGGAATGTCCTTGAACTAGAGACGGCGAAACAAGCCGACAGTCTGAGGGGGAGTGTGTTGGTGCATATCCATTTGCACGTCATCCTGTCGTCTGTTCGCATCATTTCGTTTGCATGTGTTTTGTGTGCTACGTTGTTTGTATGGTTTGTTGGGTTTGCATGTCTTTGCATGTTCATCTTGTGCTTGTGCAGATGTGCTTGGATTGTGCATGACATCGAGCACATTCCAACGAGCCAAGAATTGTTGGAATCGGAGCACATATGAAGAAGTTACGAAGAAATGTTTGATGGATTTGTTACAACTCATTGGAAGTCCTTGTCAGCTGCTACACCAAAGTTGGAGAGCCCTATAACGAGGAGGG